CTCCTTTTCCTTTTTCTGGTCTTGTATAGTCATTAGCAGTGTCATTAAGGCCTAACGAGAGGCACAGCAGTACAAAGCGTCACGCGAGTTTAAGAACAAAAGATAGCCTCCAATTGATGTTCCCTTTCATGTTTCCCGTGAAGGAAGCGAAGGAAAGGTCAGAGAAGTCTGAAAAGGTTCGCAAATGCATGACTGCGTCTTCGATGACTCCGTCCATCATCGTTTACTCGCACGAAAGCGAAGTGTTATTCACTTCAATAAAGTCTGATAATATTCTGAACTCTTTTAAAAACTGTTCCTGAAAGACGCATAATAATATTTTCATTTTCATTTCATTCAAATAATCAATTATTTGACAAAAATCAATGAAACAAATGTATTGTGTACAGTAACATCCATAAATATTCATACACATTTCAAAATTGAATAACTTTTTTTAATATTGGATTTACTGAAGTAATTTTTTTAAGTGTAAGAAACATTAATTTACTTTATGATATTTATAACAAAAAATTGAATAAAATTGGTAGAAGCTGGTGGCTTTTCTTATATTTGACACGTGATGCAATCGTCGTAATGCACATACATTCCTGTTTATCGACGTCTCTCTATAAATGAACAGATGAGACATCCACCTACGAGTTTTTGTTCCAACATGGATCACTGCACTGTTTTGGCCTCCGCACGCGAAACGGCAATCACCGGGTGATTGTTATTAAATACCTTCACTGAATTCGCTTGACGTTCTCAGCCTTAATCTCCCGACTCACGTGTAATTCGTTGAGATCGAGAGTTTCGAAACTTTCATACCGTCTCTCGACTCTTCTTTTTTATTTATTTCATGATACACTGAATCTCTATAATTAAGATTCTTTTGGAGAAACATTTCATCTTTCATTGTATTAGAAAGAATATTTAGTTCCCCATTCTAGAGATTATTTCAGTAACAGCTTCATAGTTTTTTGTTTCAATTACATTTTAATTCATCTTAATTACATTATAATTACGTACTTTATTTTATCAAACATTGTACGATTAAACATACTTTACTCTAAAAATGTGTTTTATTCAAAATTGAAGCAGTATTTACAAAATAAGTTATTCAGTTAAAATAGTTATAGTCACATGGAAAATCACTCGCAGAAGCCACTCTCATATGAAATTCATGCCAAATTAGAGTAATCGACAACAATGCTCGACAGGATATACCGGAATGCTCTCCAAATTTTCCTCTCGTAAAACCATATACGCCCACTGGTCATGTAGATGATTACACAAAACCAGTCCGTCCTCTATCCATCATCCATTCCGCACCAGAAACACACGGTACACAGCAGAATAATCGAAAATTTCGATGTTTCGAATTCCAAGCCGCGAACGCACAAGCATTCTACAAATTTCTACGCGTAAATTCCTCTCGAACTGATTTCAATCATGAAGTTCCTGAAATTCGGTAACTCCATTTGATTCGCGTGGTCATTTGTGCCGAAGTGGTATGTACAATATTCATAAATTGTATGGCGCATATTGTTTTGAAAAGATATTATTAAATATTATACATAATGCGTGCTCTGGATCAACCGCTATGGTAATAAGAGGCGTACAGTTTCAGGTTTACAACCTGGTTTCAGATTTGCTAATGCACGTGATTTTATACCTGTACTCAAATGAGAGATATTAAATAATGAAAAAATGAAAAAACAGAGAAGTTGAAATAAAATTGTGATCAAGTCTGATTTTTGTAGTAAAGCAAGTGAGAAGTAATAATTATTACATAAGTACAGAATGTTTAATGATAACTGAGAGCTATAATAGTAGTGTACAATAGTACAATGACCAATAAGCTAGATAAACTTATTGTTATATCGTTCTTGTCATGTAAAAGCTGCATGTTGGACAATTTTGTTTATTACTTATATGTATTTCATATAAAATTAATATCTTTTGTTTTATATAGAAAATATGCAGTTGTTTAAGATTTATAAAAATAATACGACGAATGCTGATTAGGTTCAATAAAAACTTCATAGCATTATCCTGGTACTAATAAATAGATATTTATATTTTAATAACGAAAAACAAAAAGTATAAAAATTGTAATTTTAATTTTCTTTTGTTGATTGCGCTGAAAATCTAAAAGTAGCCTGAAATTATAAAATGATACCAGATACAATCTCGAGTTTTAAAAGTTGGAAGTATATAATTAGTGTGCTTTATTAGAGATTATGCTCATCCAGGCAGAAGTTGTTGGTTTACTTACTTTCTTGGGTAATAGAATCTTCATGAAGGAATTCGTCGCTGCGTCAAACTTCGACTTGCTTTTAAACTTTTTACGATTCAGACCTAAGAATATTTACACGTTACCTATAATTTATGATGGCAATAAAAAAAAATAGGAACAGTTTTGAAAAACAAAATGTATTTAACAGCTCTGAAGTTTATACTTCTACGTAACTTTTGTATAACTTTCGCGCTTTTTATCTTTGTATCACTATTTCAAATTTTACGACAACAATGCACATTTACGTCTGTGTTCACGTTCCTTTTGTACTTATTTTCTTCTAGCCTACACGTCTGACTTACGACCTAGACCCCGATAAATGTGATACAGGCCATTTCAATTCCAAATTCCACGGGTTCGTGCCCCGACTTTGGTCTAACTTATTTAGATCGTGTCGTATTTTGATGCGATATTACGTGTAACGTCACATTAAACGTGCGTAGAGAATACTAAAGTTAGGGAATCTGAGAATATAAATCTTTCTTCTGTATCTTCTGTAAAGAGTTAAATTAAAATCTCTTTTCCCTTGGTAGAACATAAATCTTAATCGTGTCTAATTTTTATATACTTGCAGTAGTATTCCATATTAGAGACAATTTTTCTAATTGTATTTGTTCTCTGAAATTCATTGAAATATTGTAACACTTCAAATGTTGATTTATACAGCTTCTTGTCATAAAATGAATGATTGCAAACTCTTGAACGGCAGTGTACATAAAGAGACGATGACGTTCGTCCTTCGCACAGTGAAATTTCAACGAACGGCTTTGCTCCCTTCACGAAACTTTCATATCGCATTCTCGCGCGGTTCAACCTTTCGTTTAAGCAGTCGAGAAGAGAAGGGGGATCGTCCGCGTCCTCGATACGTGAACGTCCGTGAGAGAAGTCGAAGTTCCCTTCCTCTTCGATGATTACGATCGCTTGTCTCTTGTCATCGTTTTCCCGGTACCTCTCCTATCTTTCTGAACGCTGTCTCGGTCGTTCGTTGATTTATAGGGTGTCAGTCGTTGAATTTCCTTAAAAATTTTAATGCTGACATTTTAATTCAGAATTATTCATTGTTTTTTCGTTACATGCTTTTTACAGTGTTCGCCATTTACATACCAGATGAAAAAACTTCGCTAATAAAAAAAGGAGCAGCCAAAACTTCAAGAATTTCAAAAATCAACATGCATCATGTTTTCGAACTGTACGAACCAAAAATATAACTCTCTCTGTCGTAATTCCGTAACATTTGATAAACATTCATATTTATGATTTCGTCAACGGCGGTCAAGACCGGTTTATAATTATGTGAAAGAAACCAGGTGAAACGAAAAAATGAAGAGAGAATAGGAAAAAAATATAGCTTCGTAAAAGTAAGGATGGGATGATTGCGTTAGCTATTCAATTCTTATTAGTACTCTATTTTATTTGTCTCTTATTCTGATATGTACTTATTCTAAAATAAGTAATCAATTCCAATAAATCGAAGTCTTCTAGCAATGAATTCGTGAAATGAAAATATTTTACTAATAGCATCTTTAACAAATTTCACATGGACGCTACCGATCTATCGGTACAGTCAATAATTTCCTGCAAGACGCAAACATTTTGAAATTGATCTAATTATAAAGTACGACGCGTCGGCCGAAAAATAATCGGTCCGCTGACCGATTCCGAAATGTCAGGAGGCGTTACGCCGTGACGCTGCGCGGCGGCAAGGGAAAAAGAAAGGATTTCGTAGGAATCGAGTAAGAGAAAGGAATAAATCCAAGGGTGGCAGTAGTAGGGGGGTAAAGTACAGAGGAGTGGGAAGTACACACCGTGCATATTGCGAAATTAGCCGGTCGTGCTCGACTGACTTTCAATGAAATTCAATCGAGGAAAAAGCTGCATCGATTCTTGTTTGTGTGTGCGCCGACCAAAGTCCAAGTTAATTTTCGAGAGCATGAAAACAAGATTTCTTTGTCTCCGCTTTCAGTTTCACATCTCACAAATTCTTTGAAACAAATCATATTTCAATTATTAGGACATTTTAGTATTATCATATAGAAACAGTACGAATTCATTCGACATTAATCTAATAAGATAAAACGATTTCCTTATTATAGTGCAAATAATTCGTGTGAAGAACTTTATTTTAAAAAATAGCTATACTTCGTTTTGGGCGATGTTCCGTGAGACTCGAGAAAAGAACCCTTATCAATAAAACATTTAACATTTTTCAGAAGCGAATCGTTACGGTCGTAACGGCGATTAGCAATTTGCACAAAGAAAAAATTCATTAAGACTAATGACTTGTTAGTCTAAAGTCTTTTTCTTAACATTTCATTCTTACCATTATCCTCATCGCTTAAGAAAGGGATCTGCAATGCAAAAAATAAAATGCATAAAATCAGATCAAAGAGTGTAACGCGAGTAATAACAAGGGAACAAAACCCGGAGAGTATATATATGTAATAAAATGTCGTACTCGAGAACATTAGAACTCAGTTCTACTTAAAGGCTCGGACAGACAGATAAACAGATAGATAGATAGATAGACAGCTAGAGGATACATATGCCTGTAGCGCAGGTTCATGTACCCGGCAGATATACGTATATGAGGAAAGGTAGACACGGCTCCGGCCGTGTCACATACACGCCGGAGCCTGTAGCATAAGCTGTTTCGTAATTTAACACGACCTTATTAGCGGGATGAAGGCGCACGAATAACCGGGTGGTGTTCTGATTCCAGCAACTCTCCTTTCCGTCCACGCAATCCAGCCATGGATCGGCGGGCTTCACATTCAGCCTTTCCGGCAATCAAGACATCGAGGGTCCTCAGGGTGGTTTCGAGTGCATCCAACAAACCGGCCCTAAGTGAGTTATTCGTTATTACGCATATCATGTTCTTTGGTATTTCGCTTCATGCTTTGGAGTCATTACATTTCAAAGATAAATAAATTTTATTCAAATAATTGTCTATATTTAGTTGAATTCAATTCTTTTCATCCTTTGAAAATAATTTCATATTGTGACGACAATTATTTCGTTGTATTAATTTTTATATAATATATTGAGTTGGTAATTAAATGATTGCGGATTTTTTAACTTACCTTCTTATTTAAAATCTGCAATCACAGTTACTAATTCAATTATACATATAGTGGAGCCTCGGTATATGACATTAATCCGTTCCTGATGTCTAGGCTTATACTGTTTACATACTTCTGTGACACTAGCCGTACTCGTTTCGCGCAACTTGGAGATCATGTCGTATACCAAGTCGAAAAAGGACATATTCCAAATTGAACTTACTGTAAAGCTGAGATATACCAAGGTTCTACTGTATAATCTTAATAATGGTCTTGACCCGTTTCGAGACACATCGATTCTCTTTATCATGGCCTGTTTTTTTTTTTCATGCAGCAGCCTAGAGAGTCTTGGCGCATTACCGTGTAAAATGCGGATACAGGCGAACGACGATGTTTACGAGACAACCAGACATCGGATGGTCGTCGCTGAAGAGAACAGCAAAAACAAATGGTACGATATTGTAAATCATATGCATATGCAGTAGGATTTCAAAATTGGCCGGGAATTAAACTAATTTTTCTTCTTTATTGTTCTCTAACTAAATCGTATAAGTAGACAACTAATTTTACCAGAAATCTTTCTCGATAATATCATCGCCTAAAGTTATCGACCTTATCGATCCACGGGCTGAAACCCACTTTTTTCCAACGTCCTCGTTATAGTACTAGCAATCCTCTTCAAACACTGGTTCATTCTATTTCGAGCCTTTTCCATGTCATATTCATGTGCAATTCACCTTCATTCACAAATGAAATAGCTCGATCCGCCTGTATATAGATTCACAGGTTGTCAAGAATCTTCACGATATCACTCCAATATTTGAACGCTAAGTTTCTTTATTTGAGTTTCAAATACCTACATGTTTCACTGTATTCATCTACTTTCATTGTGAATATGCATTCCGAATTTTAATCAATTTTTCATGAATATAAATATACTCGAGATACTACAATATAGTATATTTAATAACCGAGACGATAAAGTTGGATTATTGAAACTGTTGTATACACTTCTTTCAAAAAATTATTGATGATTATCTATAAGTCCGTAGGGGGATGTGGCATTGGTAGCTCAGCTAATTTGTTTAACGATCAAGGCTAAAAACGCCTCACAAATACGACTTCATTCTTGAGTCATTGGTCTTCAATCAATTCTGGACCTCGAGAAATGTTAAATATATGGGGTATTTTTTTTCTCATAGAGTGTACCGATTATTTCATTTTAAAAATATATTACCACTTGAGTATACAAAAGTCAAAGGGTAAACTATTTTAAGAGTTATATTGTTTTAATCGTATCGTTTTAAATCTTGTGTTGCTTCTTAATTTACTTTATAACATACCGCTGAATAACAACGTTACGTATTTAGGTATTGGCACCGGATACTGGTTACATAAAAAGATAGTCTGCGTTATGGTTCATGGGATTGCGTAACAGGGGTGGCTGGGGTTGGATTTGTATGTAAGAACACGGACGTGAGGAAAAAAAGAGCTCCGATAACGCCGTAAATTCCATTTTACCGTCTTGGGCATCTCGCGAGGTGCATTGCACTTGTCGACGTCAGTGTAAGTAAGCCCACAAATGACAGTAGCACCAAGACGATTATGTAATGGTGAAACAGAAAAAGTAATAATGGGCTTATAATTACGTGACGGTTTGTTTGCGTCAAAAATCAAACAGGGTCTGCGATCGGATGCAATTGTTAGATACATATTAAAGGGCTGTGCTCCTTTTCATTTGTCATTTTCGCAATACACGCGTTCCAGTAGGACGTAACACAATACCTCTATGTAGTTTTTTAGTTTTATTTTGAAACAATTTTAAAGTTATGTATCGATATGAATAATTACAAAATACAATTCATTGTATGACTAAATATTGTGATTTATGAAAATATTGTAAGAGTATTTTAATACGATAATCATATTAATAATGTTAATAATTGTAAGGAAAATAGGGTTGTATAAAACTAGAAATAACAATGTACATGTTACAGACTATCATTTCTGCTCTTATTTACTCAACAACCGTAAACGCATAGTTCCGCATTTGTCACTTTCTATTATAAATATTTAGTGCACAAAAGAATTAGTTCATTCGCATTATGAGTCAGTATCAATTATTTGTTTTTTGTATTATCGTATAACGTTACAATCACGGAAGTTGTTAGGAGATGGGAGGGGAACGCAAAAATAGTAAGTCGACGTTCATTGACTGGAGTTTATTTATACTAAATTTCCATTTTATCGTGCACCAGTACTAGAGTCATCAAGGCAAACGGGCCGGATATTGGGCGCAAGGTGAAGCTGAAATCAGGAAATAAAATACCGTCGCCTTCAAATTCAAAATATCGGGAATCGACGATTACAACTTCTGGCAGTCAGTTCAAGAAGTCTTCCAAGAGATCTTCCAAGATGGCTGTCAGTAATAAAAATGTGGCTCGGAATCCACCTGAAAAGAAGATCTCCGACATCATGCGCAGACCATTGAAGTGAGTTCATCGCAACGTTAAAAACTTATTAGCATATCCAATTGATAAAAATCAATGCAATTGCGCAAACACAACCAACAGCTAATGACTATTTTTTACTTTAATCCACAGAGAGAGACTCATTCATCTCCTTGCTCTGAGGCCATACAAGAAGCCTGAGTTGTATGACCGCATAAATAGAGGTAATAATTACGATTATACAATTAATTAAACTCTTTACGTTTGAAAGATTATGTTCGCTACTAGATTTAGAATCTGATACCTATAATATAGAACTGTAATGTAACTACTTTAAACCGTTGGGGCCGACATTACTAATGTTATTAATTATTTTCAGAGGGTATGAAGGATCGAGAACGCAATGTGATGACGACAATTCTAAAGCAGGTGGCTTGTATGAGAGATAATACGTATCATTTGCACAGGTACGTCTGGAATGACGTACAAGAAGACTGGCCTTATTATACGGAACAGGAGAAGGCGATGTTGAAGAGAAGAAAACCTCAGAATCTTACGCCTCCTGGTTCCAGTGACGGTGGTTCTAGCGGTATAATATATTTTCATCAGTTATTTGATGTTCCATTATTTATAACTGAAATTTTACGAGACTGTAATTACAGGTAGCGGACAATCGCCAAATTCTACTCATCCAGGTTCACCGCCAGCAATCACGGCACCGCCTGCCAGTTTACTGAACAACAAGCGACCGGGTTACTACCAAGGTAACGATGGACTACCAACGAAGAAACCTCGGATATCGCATTATAAGAAGCCGGACGTGATATCTGCCTCCGGGAACATCACAGATAACGGAAGGACGGCAGTTGGTGGTAATAGTAGCAGTGTTAGTGTCGTTTCTAGTGGATCCGGCGATGGTAATAGCAGCGTTAGTTTGGTTGACGGTGGCTGGGACCATCAGAGGCAACAACGTGATCGTCGGGGCGATTACCGATCCGAAAGAACAGCGAACAGTGATGTGTTGCGGGGGATCGGTGGCTATGGAATCGAGAAACCGTGCCTGACACCGACCAGTGACAGTGAAGACATCAACCAGCTCGGCCATCGCGCGAGTGGAACCCCCGGAAGCAATGCTGCTAGCAACGTCGGCCATAATTCTATAGTAGTAGCCCATATCAGTTGTTTGAACGGCGTTCGCCATCATCATACCGGCAGGGCCGCCGATGCTAACGCCGGTTTGGATTACGTGCCGCGTTCGATGTCGAGTGCCGTGAGTGACGGTGCTAGTTATAGTAATAGTTCAAACGGGATGCTCGTCGATAGAAGAGACAGGAATGACAGAGGCCGTGCCAGTGACAGAGATCGTGAGTCAAGGAAGAGGAACAACGGGACTGCTGGTGATAACTCGTATAACGATTTGCCCGTTCCTGATTACGCCAACAACCAGGACGTTACGGTGTCCACGTCAAATTGTACTGTAGATGCGGCCGAATTGCCGGACAGCCCTAAGTCATCGGAATACCCGGATTACCTGACGTAAGTGTTCTTAGATTTTAAAAGTCTATTAACCAACGCTTATTTTATTGGTACTATGATTACTGATTGATACTATGATACTAAATTTGAAATTTTTCATCTCATTACAGGTACTATACGACAATAAGCAGCACGGAACAAAGAAGACGTTATAAGGCGGAATTCACTGCGGATTATGAAACGTATCGGAGGTTGCACGCTCAAGTGGCGACAGTATCTAAGCGATTCACTCAGCTTCAGGAGCGATTGAAGCAGGAAGAGGCTGCAGGAAACTGGGAGGAATACGCGGTACATATTGTATTTCATACAAAAAAACATTAAAAAGCGAGGAATGAACATCAATCAGAAACCATTGGGCATTAACTTCTTGTGGAATTCATATATTTGTAACTGTATCATGTAACTGAAATATTAAAAGATTAGCTTTAAATTGTGAAAGATACGAATAAAAAACATTCTTCATATTAACAATTTGTTTGTTTTCTTTTGTTACAGGAAATAAAGCAGCAAATTATAGACGAGTATGATGAAACTAAACGGGATCCCCGGCATAAGGAAACGAAACGTCGATTTCACTATTTACATGAAAAGCTTAGCCATATCAAACGGCTGGTGTTGGAATACGATACGCAGAATTGCGGCAGTGGCGGCGTAACTACGACAACATCGACGACGAACAATAACAGCACTCATGATAGCAACGGAATGCAGGAACTGGGTATTTTGCACTACTGACACAAACTGAAAAGGCCGCCTTTTATCCTCCACCTTTTCTCGGTTGTTGGTATGCTACTGTCTATGTTGTCGCAGAATTTGCATTTTCTCGGCATGTTCCAAGTCTGATCTACGGAAACACGGTCCATAATGGTTCCTTGATTCTATCGCTGAAAAAAAAGAAACAAGAGCACTCTCCGAGTCGAGATTACAAGAAAAGATTTTAAAACTCACACACGCAGGAAAAAGAAATCTTGTTCGTTATTATTGTTTCGAATAATCGCGTGAGGGTCGAAGATTTCCTCTTCCGTAATTAATAATTCGTGCGCGCGACTGTGATGATCTCTTCGACTTTTACGCCTATGCGTTGCACGATCGCGAGCGATCGTCGACAACCGCATCGACCAATGGTAATCAATAAATGAGTTTTCTTCAAACGACAATCGATACGTTTCGAAGGGAAAGAAGAAGGGAAACGAAGAGAACCGTAAGTCCATCCGACAAGAGAGAAAAAGAAAGAAAAAAAAAAGGACATTTGCAAGGAGCAACAAACTTTAACGCATTTTATCTTCTTGCTCCTTGCAAATGCCCTGTTTTCTCTTTCTGTCTCTTGTCGGGTAGACTTATGTTTTGTTCAAAAAAATTATAAAAAAAAGAAAATAAACCACATTTTCGATTGCGAGAAGAGGGTCCAAAGGGGTTAATAGGGGCTTAATTACGTGCCACGTCCGGAGGCGACTGTTAAATACTTTTTTCCGCCGGAAGGAAAAAAGGAAAGATACTATGGCATAGACTGTCCATGAGCTGCCGTGTGAATCGTATTATAAAAGGTCCACGTGCTGCTTTCTTATTTTCTTTTTTTTCTTAGTTTCCTTTCCGTTTCTTCTTTCTCTTCTATTATTTTGGCTGTTTGCCTCGTTTTAGAGAGAGGGCAAAGTAAATTATTAGCTCAAGAGAGAGAGACCACTTACATGCTTCTTGCGTATCTAGACTTTGTTCTTTTTCCCCTATTTCTTTCGAAAAATGCACGGCTCGATGATCCTTATGTCATAGATTCGATCGCCGTAACTCGATTTTAGTGAAAATGAAATGGCACGATTTGAGAATCGTTTCTACAAAGAGTAGAACGAAATGATAAATGAAATGAAAGACAAACAAGGATGTAAGCGCCCTTTTGAAAATAATTGCCTGCCATAAAACGATGTATAACTATGCGAATCAACCGATCGTGTATAGTTAACTAAGCGTTTAAAAAAAATACGATAGAAACAGAAGAGTTAGAACGTGTAATAGAAGAAAAAGTGGGCACTTGACCCTTCCCAATCACGCGATAGTAGTGGTTCCGGTAGGTAATTTTTAATAGTGGTCGGCGATAAACGTAGTTGTATATGTACAGCATACGCCAATTTATTAAGCGTATAGTTAAAGATATCTTCATCGTCTAATGAATTATTATCGATAAAATACTATTAACACAATTATTGATGCTATTGCTATTATAATTTGTTCGGATAGTTAAGTAGATAGGTAAAAAAAGAAACGCGGGTTGTTTGTTAGAGGACCTAGAGTTAGAGAATGTGTAACGAAAGTTTGAACGACGTTAATGTTTTCAATATCTGTTTATCTGACTTTTCGGTAAAACCATATGAAAAGCTCTTTTTTTATGGAACGTATGCATGAGGAGAATTTTTAATAGCAATTATATATAATCGCGTTTTTTTTATTGCTATTGACCTTTTCGATTATAGTTTTTCTTTCCTTCTTTTTTAAATCGCTATTGCTTTTTTAAATTTGTATATGAATCAAGTTTCTTTTTGTAATGTTTATCAATGTTTTGTTCCACATTCAATGAGGATTTGCAGGTATGTTGTTGGTCTTTCAACTATCTCAATTCCTATCACAAAATTGAGGCAGGTGAAAGACCGATTTAGAAAGATGAATCTAGGAATTTGAACAACGGCGTACGAATTTTACACTCTTACGGGATGTATGCGTTCTTATTTTCTTATTTCCATACGGAACATTATTTTTATACAACTATGATAGAAAAGTTTTTGAAATTGTTCGATTGGTTTCTTTCACGCACAGAAAAATAAGAAGTAATTAAGAAATCGGTTATTGAAAAATATAATTTAATTTTCATTTTTAATGTGTGTAAACTTTAACGTTAAAGCAATAAATTGTTTAGTTTTCATATTCTTAATTTAGATCCGTACAGCTGTACGTTAAAGTGATAAAACTTCAATAAAAATACAACACAAGCACTTCGTCTAAGGCAATTCTAATCACTGTTTTCGAGTTAGAATACTAATTAAACAATTGCATTTACTAAACGAGGTGCTTGTGTTGTATTTTTATTGAAGTTTCATCGTTCATCGTTGTCTGTACCTCGAGGTCTCCTCTTTTTTTATTCGAACTTTCCGCATTACTCATAATGCATTTTCTTGCCGGCAATACATGTCATGTTTCACGTGTAATGGCACCATTGTTAAATATTTAAAGAAAGACATAATTTTAAAATCTGTTACAATGTTAACTTTCATGTTCGAACTTGCATACAAGTGTCAATAACGTGAACCATATTTGTTTAACTTGATCAACAATTTGGCTCATTGTCTTAAAACGAAAGAGAAAGGAAGCTTCGATTTTATTACGTTCAACCTCACAGTTTCATTATCTTTTCGTTAAATTATCTGTGCAATGTATTTGCAATTTTTCACGTACTATGTTTGCATTAATTGGAAACATCGATAAGAGTTCGCTTAAGTTTGGTTGGCAGTGCATTTAACACGATCGTAAAATATCTTTGAAGCTCGAGAAAGGATAACTGCTGGAGAATGCATGGCACAGTGTTGACAAGTATTTTTTATTGATTGCAACGAATTATTTAAAGAAGGGTTGTAAAACACACATGAAAGAATACGTTCGGAATAAGATAATCTAAAAAAAAAAAAAAAAACACCTATTTTTATATAGAAAGAAAAAATTGTATCTATATAAATAATTAAATAAATGCAGAATATCTATACATATGTACGATTGTAGGCTGCATCGTGTGTGTTCATCAACATAAAAAACCAATGATAACAAAAAAAGAGAATGTGAGAACGATAATTATTATTCGAGTATATTATTTGGGTTGTAACTAAAAGGTATAGGAACCAGTTTTAATGATCTAATATATTTCGTTGTTACTCAAACTAAGAATACGTTCCGCCTCTTTCTTTAAACGTAAATACATTAATCGACAGACAATCTTACTTTTCCTTTTTTGCTCACTCTCTTTCCCTTGCATTTACAAACAGAAAAAATGTAATAAACAAATATGTGAAATATTAAATGCATGTGTTTCCTTTCACTATTATTCATTTTTTACTTTTTACACTTCACCTCGTTCTTTGTCAATAAACTTGGTATATCGCGGAGATACACAGAATGAGAGTATGAAAAATTAACAGGTATTTATGTGTATAACGAAGAAAGAAAAGGAGAAGGAATCTTTTATCAGGCGCTTATTATAATACTGTCATCCTGTGCTATACATATCCACTTCGGTGTACGATGGTTCAGTAGAATAACAGTTTGTATTTAATTCGTAAATAATACCAACTTTCCTTTCCATGTCAGATGTATCGCACATTGTTCATTAAGTAAGTGAAATCGTTACACGCAGGGACAACAATCTAGCATGAATGTTACGGAGCTCTTACGTTGTTTAATATAAATTGTACATATTAAAGTAGTATATTATATAGAGAGAAAGTGTAATTTAATGACTGTACTAGTTATTCATATTAGTCATAAAGAGTTTTTCTATTAATTAAAGTATTTAATTTATTGTGACAACGAACGCGTGTGAAAATTGCATCAAGAGTGTAAAATGTCGAACCCCAAAAACGTAGACAACGATGATTGGCTTGAACAGTCCAATTTTTCTGATGACCTGATCGATCGAAACAGACGCAGGCAGTGCCAAAGAGACTGTACGTAAAGCTACCTACTTGTTTATTTGAGAGTAAGATTACCGTAAGTAAACTTCTCTCGAGTGTCCGATTTGCCAGTAACACACGTAATTATGTTGTACGAACACACAATTCGTGAGTACTGTTAAGAACAAATGTCATAAAAATATTCTCAAGTTAACGTATAAAGGATATTGGAAGGGTGTGTAAAAGAATATCTACAAATCCAAGTGCGACTTAAGTAAACGATGCAATAAACGCGAACGCGCTTCTGATTTGCGCTGCATTTTTGACTCGCGAAACTCTCGATGTTTAGAGCTAAATGTATCCAATAGACCCAAATACACCGAAACAAGGCGGAGTTCACAGATTATATCAGACAATTATATTTTGTGACCGGTATTTGGTTATTACAAATATTCTATGAAATTTTATGGTCATATGAGGAAATATGAAAGATGGTGTTGCAATTATTGCGCAGTACTTTTAGTTAACTGTTACAAATCATGTAACCTTATTCTTCAGTCAATTGTTGTAGACTGAATTATACAATAGAAAAATGTCATGTTTTTCCATAGCTTTTTTCCAGATCATTCGGAGCATTGATAATAATCGCATATTTTATCAAGTGACTACAGGTCACAGTTTCTTTCTGGATTACATGAATATTTGAACGAAATTATCGGCATAATTGGCGTTTGCACAGATAGAAACGTCTTCGCGAATGTAAGTGCTCTTAACAAATGCATTTGATAACTTGTAACAATCAGCTTCGGTCATTTGTGACTCCATTTTATCGATTTCGGTAACAAAGATTCAAGGAGCAGATAAATGAATTCAGTTTACTCCCTCTCGAATGTACATTACTTCTTCCTTCGAGGTATAAATTCGATGATGAATTCGCTTGAAATTTCATGCACGTGCATCCGTGACACGTAATCTTCAAGCTCTTGCAAATTAAAAATCGTAACTAATTGTTGTTTTTTTAAATTAATCGATTCAGTTTGTCACTATTGTGTCTCCATTCCCTTTTTTAATTCTCCTTAAATCTTGACTTCTTCTCTCCAATACTTCTAATTTGAGCGTGATGGTTGAATTTCTTTCGTTATACTTGATTCGTCCTTGAGCGAGCATAGTGCCTTTCTTTCTTTTCGTTGCAAATTCTCCTATTCTTCGTTATCCACCAATCGCTTTCATCTTTCGTCACTACTTTCGTGAATTTCATGCACAAAGATTATTACAATATGTCCTATGTACTATATACTTCTTCTTGCTTCCTCATTATGATTGATTTTTCTTTGAACAACACAATCGCATTCAAATCGTTGAACCGCTGGAAGATCTCGAGAAATGGTTCACGCTTTATCGGCGATTATATGTATACATAATAATACATGCTGTATATACATAGTGTCTTACCGTTTTAAATGTTATCGAGTGATATTATATTATATAGGAAAAAATAAAAAGCTAGGATCATACAATCGTAAAAATGACGTACGTTTGTACATCTGTCGGCGTTGTTTTTAATTTAGAAGACAAGAAAAGACATACGAACGTCCATCATTTTAAGACTGTAATTGTAGCCTAAAGAGATGAAGTTCTCATCGCGCAAATTTTCCAGACCAGTTCTGATAAACAACAGCTCTACCGTTTCTGTCTGTCTGTCTGTCTGTCTGTCTCTCTGTCTCTCTGTCTCTCTCTCTTTCTTTCGCCCTGTTTCTTGTTATTTCTTGATTTGATTCAAAGTTTAAGTTTGAAAGAAAAAAAAGGAGAAAATCCAAGTGCCAATTCTAGCAAAGCGAGAGTAAAATGACTATACATATATACATATAATATAAAAATATATATATATACATATATATATATACAATATATTTAGCGTAATTTTACGTACATTATTTCTTACGTAAACAATATATCAATACGCTGACACAAGTAAGGAAAGGATTACAAAGGTATCTTTGCCTTGACGCCTATACGTTGAGCAAACCTTCCTTCTTCCTCTTCGGTTTCTCCCTTTCGTTTGCGATAAAATGCATAATTATTGTATATAAGCGACGTACGCATGGGCAAAGTATAAAAGAATAGTTATACCGTGTCTCAGACGCGGGGAACTGCAGAAAAAGGAACGTAATGTGCCGAGTTGTAGGTATTAAAAATTAAATCCCGCGGTGTTTATCAGTCTTTCTGTACTTCTCGCGGTTTCTCTTTCTTTTTTTCAATCGTTGTTTCTGGTGATATTTGAAGTTTGAGCGTACAATAATTTGAGGAATGAAAATGTTGATACTGGTCTAATAATCGGTCAACGTGCATCAACGTTTTGAGCGTCCTTCGAACGTGGTCTCTTCGTAAGCCAGGCGTCCCCTAGTTCTATCATTCTTTTCGTGTGAGGCGTAAATTTGCTGGTGTTCCTGTTAGCGAAAAGTCGTCATTACAGTCGCTCCGCAATTGAAGAACCTCTGAACAACTTACGAACAGAACTTTTCAATTCCTCTCCCGACTGTCCTTATTTCGTGAAATTATTTATTCGTGCATTCATCGAAATAAAAGATGTATAAGTACTGTTAAAGAAATTTTGTAATGTTTCTTCTACTAGTTTTTAGATCTTGTCGGCGTTGTTTTTAATTTAGAAGACAAGAAAAGACATACGAACGTCCATCATTTTAAGACTGTAATTGTAGCCTAAAGAGATGAAGTTCTCATCGCGCAAATTTTCCAGACCAGTTCTGATAAACAACAGCTCTACCGTTTCTGTCTGTCTGTCTGTCTGTCTGTCTCTCTGTCTCTCTGTCTCTCTCTCTTTCTTTCGCCCTGTTTCTTGTTATTTCTTGATTTGATTCAAAGTTTAAGTTTGAAAGAAAAAAAAGGAGAAAATCCAAGTGCCAATTCTAGCAAAGCGAGAGTAAAATGACTATACATATATACATATAATATAAAAATATATATATATACATATATATATATACAATATATTTAGCGTAATTTTACGTACATTATTTCTTACGTAAACAATATATCAATACGCTGACACAAGTAAGGAAAGGATTACAAAGGTATCTTTGCCTTGACGCCTATACGTTGAGCAAACCTTCCTTCTTCCTCTTCGGTTTCTCCCTTTCGTTTGCGATAAAATGCATAATTATTGTATATAAGCGACGTACGCATGGGCAAAGTATAAAAGAATAGTTATACCGTGTCTCAGACGCGGGGAACTGCAGAAAAAGGAACGTAATGTGCCGAGTTGTAGGTATTAAAAATTAAATCCCGCGGTGTTTATCAGTCTTTCTGTACTTCTCGCGGTTTCTCTTTCTTTTTTTCAATCGTTGTTTCTGGTGATATTTGAAGTTTGAGCGTACAATAATTTGAGGAATGAAAATGTTGATACTGGTCTAATAATCGGTCAACGTGCATCAACGTTTTGAGCGTCCTTCGAACGTGGTCTCTTCGTAAGCCAGGCGTCCCCTAGTTCTATCATTCTTTTCGTGTGAGGCGTAAATTTGCTGGTGTTCCTGTTAGCGAAAAGTCGTCATTACAGTCGCTCCGCAATTGAAGAACCTCTGAACAACTTACGAACAGAACTTTTCAATTCCTCTCCCGACTGTCCTTATTTCGTGAAATTATTTATTCGTGCATTCATCGAAATAAAAGATGTATAAGTACTGTTAAAGAAATTTTGTAATGTTTCTTCTACTAGTTTTTAGATCACAAGGGTTAAGAGATTGAAATGTTCGTACTCTGTCAAGAATTTAATTGTGTGTAACCAAATTCCGTAGGCATAAATTTTCGCTTCCACAACTTTCGGCGTTAGGTCAGTTTTCTCTTTCATCCTCACTGACTCTCTTTTGGCCGTCCTCGCGCAACTAAAAAGATTTCTCATTACATAACGTCTTACGAACGCGGTGTTCCATCGCAATCGAAGCGTAGCCAACCGAGGAGAACGATTTAAACAGGAAATCAAAGCAACCCGCAAACCGCAATCGTCGCAATGTGAACATGAAAAGTCCTTCGAACAAATAAAAATAATTATCAAGAGATATTTAAATTATAGAAAGTTTCATCTACAGGGTTTTTTGTCACCCGTCCGATGTTCCATTCAGCGGGCAACTTTTATAAACGTCCATTTACAATCTAATCAAAATCAAGTACATACGTCGGTCTGTATTATAAGTATATTTGTTTCCTTTGGGATAGCATTCTGAAGTCAACCCTCGTGTATTTATGAGAAATTTACGTGTGGGGTGTAAATTGATTTATGTCTCTATAAGTGATCTGTCATTAATCCTAAATCAAACAAATAACTCGTGACTTTTCCCATCGATGACGAACAAACAAATTATACTACTGTCTATAATATGAGAACGAAACTAATACCATTTATAATTTTGATATTACAAAGCTTTAAGTGGTTTTGAAGTAATTGTGGAAACTCGATTATGATGGATTATTTTCTGGATAAGCTACGCTTTTTAATTTCCGTCTTACGATATCGTCTCTTTCAGATAATGCCAGTGACTCGACCCACATGTTTACTTACTTAATTCTGATTAACTGCAAACGATTATTGCATATGGCAAATTAATAACAAATTATCACACTAAAAGATGCAATCTAAGAAAAGAAACAATATAATGACTATTTGCACATAAAAATACTAGTTTTACTATCAGTTATCTTAAAACAACACACACGCAAGATTTCCTATCCCGATTAAAGCACAAATTGCATTTCGTGATATCTTCACTTGTTAATTGTAATAGACTTTCTGATCGTATCTGCAATTCCCGGAAACTATCAACCAAACACGATTTCCAATAAGAAAATTCCATTTCCATTTATTTTTAACGGGCTGATATAT